ACTTTTTATTTACTTACCAGAAAAACTATAATTGAAATATGTTTTTGTTTGGTTTTAAAATATCGAAAGCTTTCATAGCCTTTTAGTTTGTGATAACTTCAATTTTGGAATACACTGCTTTTGGTAGTTTGCATCTTTTTAACGATAATTTTCGTCGTGAAAATATTTGAATATCATTTTTTTCTAGAGCCGTGCTCGACAGTGGGAACCGGGTAGAGGCGAAGCACAGCGGCAGGGTGGGGCAAGGGGTAACGCGGCGACATGGCGGCGGCGGGGGCGCGATTCTCTCACTCGACAGATCACCTGAAAGTGTACCACTTAATAACTCACATCCTCTGCCGGTTCAGTGGGCAGCCGCTGGATCGTCACATATCTCTAAATATGATCGCCGGAGCGTGGAGACACATTGCTCGTTGATTAAATGAATGCCTCCCCACAGATAATATTATGCTTTTATAACAGTGCTCACATAATTATAGTACTTGTTATAAATATAACATTATTATTCATAAAAAGACAGTATATAGACTTAATATTGGGAGACAGGCAAATCAATCAATCACTAATATTGTAAATGCGAATGTTTGAATTAATCGATGGATGCATGTTTTTTAGAAGGTATCTCCCAAATTGCTGAATGAATCTCGCTTAAATTTGGCATATTTGTGGAAGAACATAGACTACTATTTTTTTTTACTTCCACGGGGACGAAGTCGCGAGCGACAGCTAATAAGAAACTTATTTATTTCTTATCAATGTGGATGGCTGTAGGAATAGAGCAAGATCGAAGAATGTATGGATGGATTGTGTATAAGAGGACATGTACAAGAAGGTATTCGAAACTGGTTTATCCGACCCGATGGCGACAGCAATGAATATTTTATTAAGAAATGTATGTAGAAAAATAAAATTAATTATAATAGAATTTGTGTGAAGTCTTGTTTGAAATGCGGAGTTGTTTTATATGAGCCCGACTTAACCTAACAATAATGTACTACACGGGACACGGAACTATTGAAGAGTTTAATAATATTCATTGGGTTGGGGCAATTTTCCGGGCGAGCGGCGACGCGTCTTTGATCAGCATCGACCAGCCCGAGAAGTCGAGCTGACGAACTAAGTACGGCTTAACAACGCCTTAGAGCAACACTTTGTGATTTCATAAATAAATAATAAACCCCTTTTTAATGTTGATGCTATATATTTCTTAACAGATTTTACTCTACATCTCAACTGAATACACAAGTTAAATACAAATAAATCATTTATCATATTGAGAGTTCGTGTAATGATTTAAACAGTCGCATAGTGGAGATTTCTTACAATGATATTGTTTTAAAGATAAGAAATACTCAGGTTGTCGCAATATTGAGAGCGTGATTTGGAATTCGACGGAGCGGATTGTCGCAAAGGTACGATATTTTAAATTATATGTAAAATCAGTATATAAATTTAATAGGATTAGCTTAGTCATATTACAGCATATGGCAATTTGTCTTTCGGAGATATAAATCGCCATGGTGCTTTGTAGTCGTTCATATACTACATGTCTGAGTTTATCAAGGTGCCTTTAACCAACGTAAATTATTCGTCAAAGTATTTAATTCGATTTTCCGCTCCAAATGAATTATTACTTAAATGTATTTGTTACGTTTATTATTTATGCATAGAAGATCACAAATGTAACTTTGAGTGATGTATTTCAATATGTTTAGGTATATAAAATGTTAAGTAATTTCTGGCTTCCTTATATATTTACTGTTCAAATAGGCTTAAGATTTGACTATGTCAAATATCACAATTACATAATAATTCAAATGCTACTAAAATTCCGCCTACGTGTAAATGTAAATAAATCTATCCTGACACGGTTAATCACCGGAAAAGTAAACATCCTTTATTTTAAATTAAATTTGTTTTTAAATATATTTTTATCGATATTTATGCACAGAGAAAAATGTATTTGTGTTTTATCTTACTTTTTAAAGGTTTACAAATCGGTCAAGAGAAGATTTTCCCGCAAGATTTCCTACAATTTATCCAACAGAGGACTTTATTTTATATGAAACGGGTGACATATTGGATTTGTTACGAAAAATCTAAAACATTTTTCTCCGCAAATTCAATAAGCAATTTGGTTCACAATATAAAGAAAATGTAGTTGATGCGAATAAATGTAGTAACAAGGGAAAAACAACAAAGTGACAAGTGAATCACTTACCTTCGTCGAGAGGGGGAGATTGGCCTTTAACGTCAATCTCTCAACTTGAGGGTACTCCTCTTCGCACTAGTATTTCACTATCCCTACATAATTACATTGATTGCGCTTTTAATACTGCGAATCACGTTTTTATTATTATAGTTTTTAACACAAACTCCGGCATACAACGTTTTTCACACATCTAAATTTAAAAGAACTATAATTTATAAATTAAAAAAAGGCTTGATATACGTGTGTCGTAGTGGATAAACAAAACGCGTATGCATGCGCGTATGTCACGGGTCGCGGGGACGTTTCCGGTGCGCCGTCGAGTCGCGCCCTTCCGGTCTGCGCGGGCGCCTGACCTCACCTCAAGCGTGACCATAATCTATTCTGCTCTGATAAATGCACATAAAACACGCTTTGCGCTTATTTATTACAGTTATTTTTGTTTTGTTTTTGACCTCTGTGTACAAAAAAATTATAGCTATTTTAATTACAAACGATATTCATCACATGAAAATGATACGTTACAATTTTTGCCACCTACGCTTACATTTTAATACCGGCTTACAATTTTATTAGATTTGTATTGTCACAAGATTCATAATCCCTTACTATAAAACATTTAGTAACCTTAAGGTCACCTTAGTTCTATCTTGCGTTACTTTTTTATTATAATAGAATAGTATTATAGTTTTTGCGTTGAGCAAAAAAATTAGCTTATGCTAAAAGTAAGCTAAAATTAATTTCATACCGAGTTTTAAATTAATAGGAGATGAAAAAGTTTGTTACCTTAAAGATTTCCTCCAACGAACTGACAAAAGAAGTAAGAAGTTAAATAAAAACTTATAACCAGGCAAACATGAAAAGAGTGGAGTAATTTTAGGAAAATGTCGAATATTCTTTGTTTAAACAGATAGAGTATGTTACAAAATGACATAGAGAAAGTTTAAAACAAAATAATTTTGTTTAAAAGTCAATTGCTTTTAAACAAAATTAAGTTTTATCGTTATTCTCCTATATGTTCGATTTATTTTAATTAACGTTAAAAGGTATCCAATTAAGTTTCAGCTTTACAAACTCTACGCCCAACTAATTAGTAAGTACGTAGAGGCTTTCATGATGCAATTATTGTATGCAGTTAAAGTGTTTTTGTGAAAAACAAAAAGGATATTCATTTTATAACGACACGCTAATGGACTATGGTCACCTGAGCTTCAATACTGAAATTGATTCGCTTTTATTATTTACTCAATAAACGCCTCGCCGATAAAAATATCCCTTAGATTTATTGTATGCACTTATAAAAAAAATGCACGATATCCAACTATTTTAATACCTAATAAAATTAGTCACTAGTTCTCTTAAGTTACTTTTATCTCTTTCGTCACCCTTATAAATCTCTCTTTATTTTGTGGGTGCAAGCAATAACATCTGACGGCTTAAATACATATACGGTCATATTGTTGTTATTTGTTGGTCATGTGTTGATATTGACATTACATTTTTTTTTCAGTGTTTCAATTAAAATCCCGTCACTTTACCTGAGATATGTTCGCGTTGCTATTATAGTTACGTAAGTAGAGGAGTATATAGTAGTCTCTTCATATCGATTGAGTAAGAAATTAATTTTTAAATATATCTTTTTTATGTACACTTTTTTGATCATAAAAGACACAATTATTCGGGAATCGAAAATTCTATAAGATGCCATTCACCTGTTAAAATATTGTCAATTCAACTGCTTTTGGTTATTTAGGGAAGATCGGAAACAATTAGATAACAGTGACAATGGTCAGCGGAGCGCATATCCGTGTGTCGCTGAGCCGGGCCGCAGTTTACATTCATTTGCTATGTTTTGAAGATGATACAACTAACATTTACGTTTGTTCATAATGTTGGTAATGATATTTATATGACTATTTCTTTGTTTAAATATTTCGTATTAATATTTCTATATCGTGCCTATGAAAGATTAGATAAATTAGAAACACCTTACATGAATTTTCAATTGGTCCAAATTAATAAGAAATTATATAAGAGACTTCTGTGTTGTACATAATCATAAGATTTTGTCGTAACAATACATAGTGGCTGTAAACATGTTTAGTAAATGCTGTGCATGATGACCCGAGGAGGTAACTAGTTTGTATGTGAGGTCGCGGAGCTAAGTGCGGTCTGCCCCTGGACCGTCCGAGTACTTAACCTAATATTGGGTAATTGCGTTACACGGAGGGAAATTAATTCACTGCCTCTCCGACTCCGTAGGCTAAGGCGATGCATTGATAGTGCTTTGTAGCCGAACTGCGTGCACGTACGTGTAACAATATTAACATTAAAGGTGACATTATCAACAGTGTTAATCATATATTAATTTTAATCAACAATGTTAATTAAGTTTCATACTAATTTAAGCTAGTTAGTATGAACTAATATAGTTTATTATTACGTCATTATAGCAATTGTATATTGAGAGATTTCTGGTATTGTATATGGCTTTTAATCACGGTTTTAAGGTCTAGCATATGGTTTTTCTAACTTCGTGTTTGCTGTTCAAGATATGTTGTAGTTCAAGAAGCCTTCAGACTTCATCTCTAATTTGTTTCATGAATACAGATCTGACAATTATATAATATTATGATTTGAATATAAATTATTTTTACGGTGTGAGCAATAAGGGTTACATTATCTAAAAGGACCTCATTTGGAGTTAATAATGGAGTCAACACATAGGTTTAAGTGTATTTAAACTCGAAGTTATATAATTGTTATTTATCATTAATTTATTCATTAAATATAATTTACACATTTCTTTTATATAATTTATTAACATTTCTAGTGTTATTTTAATGATCTGAACCAGGTTTGTACGCAGAATTCCATATATCAGCAAAGCAAACGCTGGAGTGGAATCGGTAGAACATAATAAGTGGTAGAGATATATGTCCGAGTATACTCCATAGTATTTTACCATAGAATTCATATCTTTCGTCCAAACTATCTGGTGATTTGTAAGAGAATGAGTAGTGTAGCCACATTGCTACGTTAGCGATGATCATAAACATCATGAGCTCTCGTCCCGGCTTCGTTCTTCGCAGCTTTCTGCTATTACTGCAGCGACGAAGACCGTCTACTAACAAGAATGTCTGTATGATCACTTGTACCACCTGGAAGAATATTTACTTAATAAATAGTCAGACTAGACCTAATTGACTTTAAAAAGAAAATGACACCAATCTATGCGAACGTCGAAAGCATAGTTAGGAATAAGTTAATTGAAAATTTCTAAAGTTTCGCACTTTTATAAACCCAAAAATACAGAGTTGGAAACAAAAATTCTTCATACTATTTTGTGGATTAATAAACTTACCATAACTACGAAATCGATGGATTTGATAATGTTTTCTACTGACACTGTAGCAGCCAGTGACAGCACGGATTCTAGGAAGAAAGCTGGCAGACATATGAAAAGTAGGACATCGTCTAGCAAGGAGATTGGATGTTCGTTTATATCAAGCTTGATCGTTTGATTATAAGCTATGACTGCGGCGAACAGCATTATCACGTGCAGGCCCAGCTTCGTGCAGTTGTTAAGGAGGTAACCCACTTCCAGGAAATTACTGTAATATAATTTTTTGTTGTGAAAAAATGTTCGCTTTTTCTGATATTAGTATAAATAGGCCTTTTACTTTTTTTTGTTAAGTTGTAAGTTTAAACAAAAATAGAATATTAATTAAAAAGATACTTACTCGCCAACACTACTGAAGACGAACCCAATAATGAGCATTCCCAAAACAATAACAATTATTATTAAGCCGACAAAAAGCCCTCGGTTCGAAGCATGGCAGTCCGCATAAATAACCATATTGCTAGTGTAATCGTTCTCTTCACTTGCAGTTGGTATTCTGGAAAAGAAACATTGGTTAATATGCAAAAATACACAATCATATAGTAGAGTTAATTAAGATACTAACTTGCATACTGAATAGTTTTCGCCTAAGCTTGAATTTGATTCACTTTTGTCTCCATCTGCGTTCTCACAGTGACCAATGTTACTCCAAATTATATAGTATACAGCAACTAAAATGTAAAATCAACAATTTGATTGTGCCATTAATATTCAGATTTTGAAAAAAGAACACAAAGTAACTTATATTATTAAATATTATGTGCAATTGGAAAGTAAATAATAAAACTATATAATTACCTATAAGAATATTGAATTCAACACTAAATGGGTACAGATATGGAGATACACTTTCAAATACAGAGGATATAGCACCGGATCCCTGGCAATGTTCGTTGTACAGATTACTGATATCGAAAATTCGACTTTCTGCTGATGTAAACACTGAAAAAAAATGATTTATTAGTTCTTATTAGAGCTTTTCGTTACAATAGAAAAAGGTATTGTTTAAAAAACGTTTAGAAACCTGGATCTAAATTAATTTCGACTTCATAGCCGTTCGTTCTATTTCCATATTTAGAATTCGCATAAAGTGTCAACGCCAACACAGTCTCTCGAACAATGGTCGCAATCCAAAAACATAGACTGCTTCCAATCATATGCATAAAACCAAAATGCGCCAAACCCTGTAAAAATTGAAATATATATTGCAACATAGCACTAGGAAGCAAGCAATAAATTAGCGTAACGATGATAAGTTCTCTCACCTGCCCTCGCAAAATGATCACGTTGGAATATTTAAAAATAAAATATAGTTGAACGAAAGAAAATAATGGATTCACGACGTCAAGAACTAATCGCAATACGTCTACGCAGTCTTGATTGTTAATGTTGTCGTCAAGATAATAGTTTATTTGTAAAGTGATCAGCAGAACGGAATGTACAAGATGTCCGAGAGCGAAACCTGCAAGTTTTACATTCAATATTAAAAATCATATACAAAGAAATACAGAAAAACGTCAACGTGGTGAAGGAGTTTAATGTTTATACATTCCAAAGTTGTCCACATAATAAGTGACTACTAGATAAGATATTCAGAAACTACGGCAAAGTAAATTTTAGTAATGATAAGAAATGTATCAGTTCGTTGTTTCTAAATCAAGAATTAAAAAAAACAATAAGAGTTTACCGGCAGCTCCCAATTTAAGGTAAAAGCTACCCGAATGCCGGCCCTGGCTGAAGCAATAGTCATGTTTCAGTGTCACGAGCAACGCAGATGGTATTTTCAGTGATCTGTAACTATCGGGCGTGCGGTCCCCTGCTATAATTGGCCCGAACTCTTCCTACAATAAAAAAAGGTTACAAAAACACTAAAAAATCTAATGTACTCGTATTATTCCTCCAAGCTTAATTATTTTACAATCAATACTTACTTCTCGTTTCCTATAATATTCAGATAGTTTCTCTTCATGAATCTCTTTAGCTTTTTGATTCTTTAGTGCGTTTCCTTTGTATCTACCAATATCAAATAGTAAATACATTACGTACAAGAATCCAACACCAGTTAAAACTAATGAGTATATCTGAAAAGAATATTTAATAAAAAATTATGTTGAAAATAAGTAAACCAACTTTTTTACATATTTATTGATATAAGTGGTCATTGTTCCAAATTTAAAAATAATTTATTTAAGTTCGAACTTTATAAGGGTTCTTTATCGGAGACCAAAACTCTATAAGCAAATAATTGTAAAAAAAAAATGTATTTTTTTTCATGCCGTTCATCTCTACCATATTTTTAACTGGATCAAATTTCACATTCATCTATTCGCTTTCTTTAAAAAAGGGTACAAATATTTTGTTTCACGTATTAATAAAAAGAAAATATTTATAAGTCCCTAGGACTTCTGGTTAGTGACGACTTAGCAACTGTGGATGCGGTGGTTAGTATTAAAAGATATTAATTTTACCGTAGCTAAATGCATATCCACAAAAGGATCAGCGAGGTTGAAAATAACACCCAATGTCACCAGCAGTATAGCGTACATACCGCTCAATATTAATGTCATATATTTCCTGGAATAAAAAAAGAAAAATCAAAAGTAATAATATAACAATTAAGTTATGTAAAGGCATAGACGAAGCTGTTTGGTAATATTTTTTTTTTATAACATAAGGGGGCAAACGAGCAGCGGGAACACCGAGGTGTTCAACGACGCCCATGGACATCAGCAATACCAGAGGAACCGCAGATGCGTTGCCGGCCTTTGAGGTGGTGATATTTTAATTTAGGCAAGGAAATTAGCTACGTATCTTTCTCTTATTACTTCTTTGAATACCTCGAAATATATGTTTGGTGTTTGGCGTTTCCCTATCTTGTTGACTTTATTTGTCGTTCTATCTGAGTTAATTCTTTCGATAAACCTTTACTGTTGAGAACCTCGTAAATTATGAAGTCTTAAGTTTTAATTTTTATACTTACAATGTAAGTCGTTTATTATCTTCTGGGCTGGTGGGAGGAGGTGCGTGGGTGTCCACCGAGCGTAGGGACTGCGCGTCCATGGTGGCCACGGAGCGTTTTCTAGGAGTTGTGCCACCGCGCACGTCATTAAGCGTGTTGTATACACGAAGGCTATCTTAAAATATACAAAGAGTTTATCAATACAACTCGAATGTATTACCTTGGATTGAGGACGTTAATATTTTTTATGTTTTTATCCCAGGATGCTAGTAATAGATGTCCAAATAGCAGAAGGATATTAGATTTTACAATATTAGAATATATTTTGTACGTATTATGATAACAATTTTATACAGGGTTGCTGCCATTGTCCTTGTCCATCATGTTTTTAAAAGATATTTTTTACTGAAGACTTCAAATGAATTTTAACTGTAAATGGTTCATACTACTTACAATAATTACTTTTTAATTGATTATATCTGTATATTTTAATAAAACTTATTTATATTACTTTTTAGTTTAATACTTACTTAAAGATTTGGCATCTCCATTATTACGTATATTGCCATTATATAACACTGGACTAGCACTATTTCGATCTCCTGGAAATTTACGTAAAATAATTAAGCGATAAGACAGTTGAAGAACGCGATTTAGATTACTACCAAGGACGGACAGCGATTAATATCATATTTCTCTTTTAATTCATGAATTACAAAATATTATTAATTAAAATTTTATTTATTAATTTTAACTTTGTATTACATGACATTTGTGAGTATTAATAATGTTTATCGAAATTTATTACCCTAGGAAAGCGAACAGTTTATATTATGTTTATGTTGTTTTGTGTAAATGTGTAATTCATAAATATATCAATATTACCTATTGGCGTTCCTAAAATCGAATCATCATCTCTCTTACTGGTTGAATCCTGTAAACATATAAATAACAAATGAAAGTTAGGAACATATTTTTTAATAATTCAGACGATCTAAAATGGAGCTAAAATCTCTCTCCGACGAAAGCCGTATAAAATCGGATTAATAACTTCATTAGTTACTTGTTTCTCTCGATCGACGCCGCCCGGTATTTCACAATAATCCCATTACGCTGTTTCACGTTCCTATGCTACAAATTTTGGGCTAGCGTTCACAGAAAAATATGCATAATTACTGTGAAACTGGCATATCACACAATGAATAGTTTGTTCAAATATATCACCTATCAAAAGAACTCAAGGTTCAGAATTGCTCGCTGTGATTGTGCGAGTAGGATTTTTTGGAATATTCAGAGTTATATGCATCACAAAACACCTGACAGTGACGACATTGAAGGTAAAACTAAACAACTTTGCTTTCGATTTAAGTTAAAAAGTGATTACACAGTGTAGTTTTTGTATTTTGGAACTGATAGTTAAGAAGATTTACAATGTTGCCTTCTATTCCTTATTGTAAGTACATACTGTTTTGATTCTCAGTCAAGCATGTATTTGTTCTAGGTTTTAAAGCTTCATGCTTTAAAAACTAGAACAAATACGTAAATATATTTGCATGTAGATGTTTTAGTAAATCATTGATTTTAGAACTAGATTTTAGATATTCGATAATACTTAACGTATTTATATTTCGACAAGAAAATCAAATTACAAATATCGTGTAATTCCCCGCTCTTATCGCATTCGGGCGACACCAATAAATATTTCTATTAGCTTGGTAAAGCGGTGAGTTAGCAGTCAACGTATGGGAATATAAAAATAAAGAGATCGAATTTTCATTAGGTGAGGCGTTGGGGCGGCACGGCTGTCGGTATTTACAGGAGGTGGACGGGCGCGCGAGGGGGTGAGGGTGGCTCGCGGCCGGCTGGACTCAAAAGGTTTACAGTTGGCTGCGCGAGAGTGACCCGCCTCACAAACAGGCCCCATGTCCACTCGCTACTATGGAACTGTACTGCCCTTAACTACATAGCTTTTTGTCATTTTATTTTTGTAACAAGAGATTTAAAATTCTGTTCACTGTTTAGTACAAAATGGCTAAATATTAGGAGGAAAATAATTTAATAACTTAACACCAAGATTAGTAAAACGTGCCATTTCGTGTGTACAGATTGCACTCATATATTTTCTCAATGATGGACATTTTGAAGATGAAATGAAGTATCACAGAGTTAAAATACAAACAAATCTAATAATATTTTTAGACTAGTTTAATTCAGTATCATAGTGACGATAACAGTAGTTGGCCTTGATAAATCATAACCTTATAGACCGATTAATCTACGATTAATCAAGAAATAACTTATCACACTGATAATTTGAAATGTAAATGAACGGAAGTAATAGTTCATAGCAATCTTAACTATTATTGTATTTCCTAAAACCACTATTACAGTTTCATAAGTTAGTAGATAAAATTAAAGTTTTATTAAATAAATTAATCTATTCAATTTAGTCGTATCCACATGTTTCGAATGCAAAAATCATTACAACCCATTGCGCCCATATATACGAATTCGTTGTTTAAACTACGGTCGGAGCTTAAAATAAATTTACTTTGAAAGCTTGGCAAAACAGCTTGTCACAAATATTATTGGTGGGCTTTTAAAAACTTAAAGTTTCTCTTGCACTAAGGAGATCAGGTTATGATTCTGAGATAGTATTTAAGTAATAATTGTAATAAACAAAAAATGTCAATAAATTCCAAAGAAAAAAATAAATTTACAAAGGGTTGAGACTGGTGTACAGTTGTTTCGACAATGAAAACTTACAGCTAGAAACATCTTAATCAGCACTTTGTGTTCAGAGTAATAATTAATCCTAAAAAAAATTACTAACATTTCTTTCGCGACCTAGTCCGGAAAACCTTTCAGTCTCCGAGAGTGCGATCTGAGTTGAATGGCAAATTCGAATTTAGTTTATAGCCCGGGTCACACGGCACACAGTTCAACCGGCCTATGACATCGCATGTGTTTATAGGAAGGTTTTGATCGAGATTTTTCTATTTATCGTTTTGCAATTAGGTCTTAGGTGTCGGATTAAGTAGAGTGGTATAGCCATGTTAACAGAGTTGTGCTATTCTCGTCTCTTCTTGCCTACACAAATATACGCGTATATTTATAGCAGAGATATAGCCAAGTTTAATCTGAACATGTTGAAAGATGATGAACTGAACATTAATAGTTCTTTAAGACATTTTATCATTACCTTTTAAATTATTCTCTTACGGTACAAACGTAATTTATCTTATAAAAGATTAGTTATTACGTGTATAGATTATCATTACGTGGATTTATTGATAACCTAATCATGATTTATTTGGTTTAGATGATAATTTCTTAATGTTCATTTTTCGCAAATTATTTATCATGTAAACGTAATTAATTCGATTTCTATGATAAACAATATTAGTTTCATGGAAAATATAATAAAAGTTAAATCATGTGATCATTATATGTGTTTTTATGTATTATATAATACATAAAATCGAGCGACAATAGCCTAATGGTCTGGTAGATAACCATGTCCTAGCACAAGCTTCCAGCTTATTTGGAATGGTAACAACTAATGTGTGAAAATATTTATGAAACTTGTTTTTTTATTTGTAAACTTAACTGTTATGTAATATTGTGTGTGTCTCATGTGTCAAATTATTGTTATTATTATTATCGCGTCAATTTTTGAACGCTGGCTAATTATTAGATACTAATTTTGTATTTAAATCCACCCTATTTTTTAAATATGGATGAGACTACAAAAATTATGAAATATATTAATTACCTATTATTAAAAGAAAATTAAAATCAAAATCATTTGCCAAAAATTAACCAACCGTACTGCGTGTATATCAGTGGTTAATTGTAATTGTGTCGATATGCTATTAATAAAAATATTACTTATATTTTCCTTTTAAATTAGTAAAACATTACATGAAAGCATTTCCTAAAATAAGTCAATATTGATATGATGCGTGATAAGAGCTTTGTGTAAATCCTTTTGTGTGCAAATTATAACAGCAATAAAATAATTTACTTATCAAACTATGTTGATGCAGGGAAATGCCCGCAATAGTATTATTAGAATATCTTATCACACTTTTACTAAAATTCTGCGTTCATACTACGATATTAATATAATTTACCATTCCTAGCATATTAAGTTGTAGTAACAGGATACAAGACTTTTCTCTCCAATAGTCCAATGGTCAAACAATTTTATTGATTAGTAATCGTTGAATCATGATTGGTATTATGACTTGCGCAGAATGAAAAAATGGAATTCGATTTTTAAGGAAAAATATTGCAAACCGTAATATTTCAAACATTTTATACAAAAGTGCAGCGAATAAAATTACTTATAAATATATCTGTTTTTCCAAACCGTATTACCATATAAATAAGCTTGTTTAAATAAAGGAAACAAACCTTTTCTTTTCCTTAATTCAGTCGACATAGTAAGTTACCCCATTATTCCATTGCTACATGTCAGTAAAATATGTTACGCCAGACAAATGTGTCATTAAAAATAAGATGGATAGCTGACTAAACAGCAGTTAATAATTTTTCTTCTTATGTAAGGTGTTGGGTAACAAAGGCTAATCCCAGACAGTGTAATTTTTATCTACATTGATATTAACTAATTCCTTTATGATAAATCTATAATCTCTGTTACTGTTTATTATTAAATCAAAAAAGAATTCAAACCAAATGATATCTAACTCGTAAATTTACGTTCAGCCGTTTAGACTACAGGTCACAACTAAATTGGTATACAAAATATTTTTATATTGCTATGTCGGACAAAAAGAAATGAAACCGCATCCTCTACAAATATATTTACATGATTTCAATATCATTAGAATGATAATAAGCTGCTTCTAGATAATAGTTTACATGATTTCTTCTTGAAATATTGAAGACGACTTTCCATGTTATTTTAAAGTGTTCTTGTTTTGAAGTTGAACATACATGTTAAATGTAACTATGAGTGTGATTATGTCACTAACACTTGTAATAAGTGCTACTTCTATTTATAAGGATTTATTTTAAAGAAACTGTAATAATTTGAATATATTGCGTAAAATAGACTGCGTACTAAATTTCAAATTAATACATTTTTATTTTGATTGACATGTTATGTTCTCGAAATGCAAAGTACTTGTAAGTTATTTTTCTAAGACTAATAGGATGATAAAGGAGTTATAAAAAGTTGTAGTTTTTTCCATTGTAACCTTCTAACAGCTTCAGAAATTTTGAAGATTTATCTAGATAACTCTAGAGCCAGACGGTAAACCTGTAGCTTACTTTAGTTAAATATAAAACAGTTTTCTCAATACAGTCAGTTGGGTCATTTGATATTTAAAACGGAGATGTGAAGCAATGATAAATGAGACCGTGTCATAGACTTACAGTGCGCTCTAGGTCGGGTGCGTACATGACGCTACGGGGCGGGCGGCGGCGTGCGGCCCTTGCTGCGGTCGCCGTCAGCAGGCTGCCCGACACCGGGCCCGGTGTCGACATCGTCCGCCGCCTGTCACCACCGTCATCTTCATTTGTAACACCGTTTAGTGTTTTGTTTACTACCTAAAGTAGAAAATAATATAATCAGCGACATACTAAAGTAAGAAATACACAAAGTCTGTATGCGTATGAGCTTTTAGTCTCCAAAAATGATGCATGTAGGTCAAAATTCGACCTATAATCTCAGTGTGATTGTAATATACGAAATATTGTGTAGTATCAGTGGTTATAGTAGTGTTAGATCGTATTTCAATATGTTTTTGATATTCATTTATGGAAAAGACTTTGTTGTTTTATTAAATTTTACACTGTCTGGTTTGAGAATGTAATGTTTTTTTTAAAAAACCCTCCAAGACGAGGCACAAGCAGAAGTAGCTCGTCAACTTAACTTCAATTCCCCACGGGAAATGCGTATTTCTAACGTATATATATGAGATACTTTTTTATCATAATCAATAAGAAAGACGATGTAACATGTAACTGTAAGCTATAATACAGTTATATGAAGTAAAAAATGTTTGTTCTTCTATATATAATTTTAATATAATACAGTACTTTTCAATGTCAAAATTGAAATTTACATAAAACTTACCCCGGGATCTTTTCCACCGTCAATAGTACTTTCGTCAATGTCTTCTAAATTTTGAAGCGATGTTTCCGAATGAGATTTTTTATCACCTAATTTCTTTCTATTCACTATTTCATCCATCACTTGTTTGTGAGCCACTTGTGGGTCTGCCATTTTACAATAAAACTAGTTACAATCAAAAAACAAGTGATTTGTAAAAATATAATTTCCTTTATTTCAATGCAACGAAATAAAATAACGCCATTTTAATTTATTAACACGGTAAACAGTTTCTTTGTACGACACAAAGTGCGATTTGTTGCTTGCAAATGTGATATTAAAAAAATAATTATTGTTATCTGTAATCATTTTATATCGAACGAGACATATCTATAATACGGTAATTATCGTAATCAATTCGTCACTTCTTCCTGTGTTTACTAAATTTTTAACATAACCGTGAATTTGTGGAGGCAGGTTCACTCTCTATCATTTTTGGGATCTACGGCCATAAGAAGTTTAATAACAATTGTATTTTTGTATTTGAGTCGTAAGTTTTTTAATTTTATGTCAATGCATTTTAATTAAAAAACAACAGCCAAAGTTATCTGATAGTATGTCGCTATCGTACTTAGACATCTTCATCCTCGATAAGGTAACTGGATGGCGCACAAAGATTTTATTAACCTTCTGACGCTCCATAAAGGACGTTTGTTAGTGGTTATATAGAAATTTCTTTTTTTTATATCATAAGGTGGCAAACGAGCAAGCGGCTACATGAAATCGCTGAAATAGCGAAGTGACCGTTGCCCATAGACATACGCAATAGAAGAGAGAGAAGAGGTGCATAGAAAGAAAATATGTATCCTCTTATCCGGAAAGTCCACTTCCACTTCCCATCCTTTCCTTATAAAAAAGGGTGGGAAGAGAAAGAGGACTAAATTAGACCTTCGGGACGCACATTCATCAGACGAAACGCGGAATTGCTTCCACTTCAAGCGTTTCTTCTGTGTGGTCGTGGTATTTCACCGGGCGAGCCAGGCCAATTCGAGCGAAGTTGGTAAAGCGGTCTCTACCGCTTTTAACTTATCTATGGGTTAGTTAAAATTTATTTTAGTAGAAAACGAAGTTAGCTAGATTTAGGCATCAGTAATAAATATCTATTATACCTTTGCTGTTCTTACTGAAACTTAGAAATTCTAAAGTTTTGCATGATTACTTTAATAAAACTTACACACACATACAATAACTGAAACACCTAAAAAATAACTTGATCTCAAATAAAATGGCAGGTTTATAACGATTGTAATAACATGTCAAAGTATAAATTGTGTCTGAAGAATTAAAAAATCTGAGTTAACTAATGCGTTGCCATGGACACAAACTTTTAAACATTTTAATAACGTTGATCATTTTATAACACTATGTGATTGAAATGAATTTAAAACTGGAGTGAGAATTGATGTCAGCTATAAAACTTATCTAATTGATCCCAATAATATCTGTAGATAAAATAAAAAAAATGCAATAACGGATTTAATTCGCAAGTAGGTATTCTAATTTTAGTGCTCAAGGCAATAAAAGTTTATTAGCATTTCTATATTTACACGGTCAAATTGTGTTTTGTTTTTACGATATTGAAAAATAGCGTAGACGAATCGATATCGATATGAAGTAAAAAATTTTAACCGTAGTTTATTAAATCTTAAATTATGTCGCGTTCAGTTTACATGCAATAAAATAATATTCCAATTCGCGAAACAATAGCTTGTAAATAAATTCAAACAATATTTTTAAATACTTTAAAAGTCAATAAAACGAGCAGTTTAAACATTTGTTATCGGCCGTTACATTTTTTCATTATTTTATCCATTCAAGTGAGTTAAAAACAGCTTGCAGCAAAACATTTGTTGTGAATTTTTAAACAAATAAAAATTGCTGTTCATAAAACAAATTTTTGTGCACCTTACTTTAATTTTGATATTGTTAAAATTAAACGACAAATGTCATGTTTCATAACATCAAAAGTAAAGTATTATATCGATTACTAAGTACATTTGAATATATTATAAATTTTTGAACAATTTAATTTCAACTGATAATATTGCCGCTATAAGTTTCACTTAAGAATGAAAACAAATACGTAGAAACTGCATTACAATACCATGATAAAATATTGTTTTCTGTCCTGTAAATAAAGACTTCACAAACAGAATAAATATTACGCAGTGAATGGTTTTGGGCATCCGTGTTGAAAAATTAAAATGATAAGTCGCTGTCATTATCCAAGGACCACGTTGTTTTATTTAGATACATAATATTTATCACATTCTAGAAGTTCATTTGTTTAATTATGTCTAAACTTTTAATTTTATCTTAAATATAAAAATCAGCAAACTTGTGGATGTATTAAGTTTTTACTTATTCATCCTAATACAATATGTATCGAGTGTAGAAATACAGACGCTGGACCGAAGAAATTTAACCGACAGTCCGTTAATCTAAGTTATTACGCAAAAAATACAACTTCAAAAAAGAAAATCATTTTAATAACATACTTCATCAAAATAAAAACTATTCGTTCAAAATCTTGCTCAACTCTTCCTTCAATTCCAATGTAAATTCGGAAACGGGGAATGCTAATTCTTGTACAATAGATGTCGAAGATTTCTCTTTAACAACGAAGTCTGAAGGAACAACGAACAACTGTTTCTTTTCCCCAGACTGGTCTAGAGACTCGAGGTAAGGCGGCATGGGTAAGTGAGGTCTCTGTTTCAACCAGTTGTAGAATGTCTTTGTTGAACTGAAAATATATATAAACAGGTTAACGAATAATAAGATACAAGAAATTAGATCAATGCAAACCAAGTTTTGCTTATTGGAATTTATATAATAACTTTAAATATGTAAGCCATACTTACGTCAAATGTTGTATTTCGGACCATACACATGACATAGTTTTTAAGTCATCGGGAATCTGAACATTTTGCCAGATCTTCTTGGTGTTGTTCTTTGGAGGAATGTGTTTCATATGTTGCGGTAGACAGGTTGCGAAGGCGGTCGTGTGCGCCGGACTGCTCTCCGCAATTATATCTGACATTATCTGCCTCTTCAATGCTTTAGGACATGAAGCCTTGACACAGAGAATTACAATGTTATTATAAATTTGTAGATTGTTAGGAATGAATCTATGGAATTGCTCATTGCGTCAAATGTGATGTCTAATTTATAAAATGCATTTATCGTTAATATTACCTTTGGAACTCCCACGTAATCAGCAATACTTTGATTAACACAAGGAAGAATTTTAGGATCAAGTACCAATCCTCTGGATGCATGCTCGTCGAACCACACCTGTAAAATATTTGTAATAACATTTTAAGAAAACATCGGTAAAATTTTATTAAACCACTAGCTGTCGCCCGCGACTTCGTCCGGGCGCAATTAAAAAACATGAGTAGCCTATGTGTTCTTCCAGACAATGTTCTACATCTGGACTACATTTCACTAAGATCTGTTGATCCGTTCTGGAGATACCTTCAAACATCCATCCATATATCCAAAAATTCGCATTTATAATACTAGTATGAATTTAAAAAAATACCTGAAATAGATCTTCGATGTCTTCTGGACGTTTGATTTCACTTTTATACTCTCCCGTGCCCAAGTTAGACCACCATTCATAAAATTCAGTGGCGATCTAAAAATGAAATAAAATCTTAATATTACTTCTAAGCTAAAAGAAAAAATTACACTTGAGATTACTGTAACTATTGTATAGTTCATTTAGTGCATTAAAATAAATCATGCGGTACCTTCTTCGTGGCAATCTCAGCCTTTTTATTAAATTGATCAGAGGCCGATACCTCAAAGCCCTTTTGCTTGAACTTTGAGTTCCACTTAATCATGTCAGCTTCACTTTCGTTGCAGTATAAGAACTGGAAATGGGGATTTCTTACTTTCATCGGAATATTCCTGCAAATACATTTAGGTCGTGTTTTTTAAACAATCATGATATTTAAAATAATCAACTTTTGAGTTTATTGGTTATCAAAGATCAAATAACACTCACTCATCAATTTCGCTCGGATGTACTCTTAAATCTTCATCAGTTTCGGGAAGTGTTTCCTCTGTAGATGCTTGTGAACTAAAATCCTTAGATTTTACCCTCATTTTTGAAGCAAACTTTGGAAATAGCCTCGTTGTTGATTTGGAGGTGGTCTTTAAGAGTTTTGATGTTTTGCTCCTGATAGATGATTTGGATCGTATTTTTTTATACTCAGACGTCCTATGAGAGGTCTCGGTCCAATGGTCCGACTGCTCCTTCGGATATCCCTCGCTAAGTGATCGTTGGACATCGATTACAGAAAAGGTAATTCGGCTGCGAGGTGGAGCCTGTTGCTGTGGAACAGTAATTAGACAAAATATACAGCTGCCATATTGTCTACTTTAGGACATTACCAAGATTACAATAAAGACTCATTTGAAAATTAAAAAAAAATATTTTAAGTCTAAATTTTGTATGATTTTTAAAAGAATAATTAATAGCGTAATTTACTGAATTTCAAACTCTTACTTCCAAATTAGTAGTTGATTTTTCGAGAAACTGTTCAGAAGGTAAAGGAGTGACGTCGTCTTCCGGTGGTTCATATTTCTTGGATTCCGATGGTAAATTAAATATCTTTGTTATCCTATGGAATATTACTGGATCCAGTAAATCACGAACCACATTGTATTGTGATTCCCAAAACTGAAATAACAAAACGTAAATAACATAGATAAAATATATTTAACAGTGTAATTAATTCTTGCTCTTATTTATTTATTCCTGACTTATCCTGATATTTATATATTATATACCCTCTTTCTATGTTATTCTGTCCTGTCCCACTGGGTTGCCTGGAAGAGATCGCTTGTAGCGATAAGGCCGCTCTTGCTTTGTAAATTAGTTAATTATCATTTTTTATGTATTATGATAGCATTGAGAGTTAATAAATAAATAAGTTGCTTGTAACTTTTATGGGTTATAGGCATCATAGTTAGTCCATACAGAAACAAATTATTATAACCATAAAGCACTACATTTTTTTTATTCTACAGCTGTACTTCTAATACAACATTCCAAGAATCTGATGCTAAACCATAAAGTGATATGAAAAGTTCCTTTACTTATAGTGGATTATATAATTCTGTTAACAACACTTATATTGTCTCGTCTTTTATTTTTAACCGTGACCTTTTAACTTATTTTTGATGCCCTATTGCTTTGTACTTTAAACTCAATGTCTCTCAGAGTTGTTAAGTGGTTACTGACGTCTGTTAGTCCGTAATTGTCCCTTAGTGAATATTACCTGTTCATCTTTGTAAGATGCTTCTAAATTTCGTATAACATTCTTCCAATGCATTTTGACGGAGGCTTCATTTTGCTCATATCGGGATGGCTTTATAGCTTTAAGAGTTTTAGGCTTGTCCCAATTTTTGACGAGAGGTCTTTTACCACAAGACATTGTGTACTGTACTAGAAATCACAAGTGTATAATGTATATTTATTCTTCTTTGACACCATTATGTAAATGATATACAAATTGCTTTCTGTCACAATGATGACGTTTTTAGTTCTTTCAATTTTGATATTTTTTTTATTTGTTGAGAAAAAGTGTAAGTTTTTGGAAGTGTTTAATTATCAGACATATAATTTTCGATTACAATTATACTTACCTATCAAGTGTAACTTTTATAATAAAGAAAAATATACATGTTAGTTATTTTGAAAAATGTGAAAGACGCCATCTATTAGGCGCTTTGGCAACTATGATAAAATTCATTTTATTTATTTCTTCTTCTTACAAGGTTAAAAGCGGCGCTAGTGCTCGAAATGTAATATAGATGGCGTTTTAATTGTTTTAATGTTTTCAGCACATAGGATTCATGAGAAGTCAGTGCGTGTATATATTCATAACAGTGAAAAACTGATTTACATCAATAGTCCAGATTAATAATAGAAATTAAATAAAATATTTTCTAGAAATATTTTAATATATTATAGAAGTATTATAATAAAAAGAACTGTAAATATCTAATTGGTATCAGCTAGTTGTGATAATCTACGACGTAGGTGGTCAATAGGCGCTGGGGCATTGTTATGTGTTGTAGGAGATGCGTGGTGCTGCAACTCCATGGTAAGCCTGGCATTGAGCACGGCTGGGTCGAACATGCCCAGACTGTTCAAGTAAGGCGCTCTCCTATGCTCGGGATGTTGGATCATCCAACGGCAGTATTCTCTTACGCTCCTGTTGAAAATACAATAATTCTTTTTGTAAACAATTTGAAGTTGAAGCATGATATAATTATAAGAAAGCCGTTGAAACTTGATTAAATTTACCTTATATTTGTGATCCCTTCCCATACAGTTTTTAATGAGACTAGATCTTTGGGAACATGTTTAGCAGATCGCCACTGGTTTTTGGTGTCATTCTTGGGTGTTCGCCATTGTTCCCCTCTAGGAAGACTTCGTCCGAAAGCTGTTAATCGATCTGGACGCTTTTCTATTTTAATATCTTTAGTTATTTCTCGGGCTAACGCAGCATTGCGGGATAACTGGAAGAAATTAAATTGAATGAAAATTAAAAAAAATTACGCGTTCCTACGTATTTCCTAAATGACCCGCTTTCGCTACCAAGTTCAGTGTCAGAATGATTAGTGAGGAGACATAAACGTCGAAATTATAGTAAGGCTAGTGTTGCGTCAGTACACCGGCACAGTGTCGGATTTCCTTATAGTATTAAGGTTGAAAGACAAAGCATATTTTTTTTATGTTTTTATACTATTTAATATTAAGAAAAAACTTTTTTGTTATATATTACGTATGCTATCGATAGTAAGTATGCCACAATATTTATGACAAACCTCTATATTTCCTGTAACTTCTGCAATTTTGTTGATGACAGTGGGCATTTCTTTTGGCACAACTTGAAGACTACGAGCAACATGTGTGTCAAATTCTACCTGCCAAATAGAAAAGAATAAAATATATTTTAATCTTAATTTACGAGTATTACACCCACCTTAAACTTATACTTACTTGAAATAACTCTTTTATAGACTTAGGTGTAAAGAGCTGTGATTGCTGGTCACCCCCTAAAGCCCGCATATAATCGCAAAAATCCTGTGTTATCTGAAAAAATATCCATATATTTTAACAAATAATAAACAATAAATTTCAATACAACTTTTTACTCAATAAGTACCGATAAAATTAAAATCATGTATCTTGCTCTAAAATGTACGGTATATTTGTATTAACCCTTATTGTGGCAAGATTTCTTTTTTGGAGAAAAGCAAAAAACAAAGTTAAAAAAAACTTGGTTAAAAATTATTTTACAGTGATTGTATATTTTTATAAAGTTGTATGTATGGTATACTATACAAAATGAACATAATGGTTAATTATTCCAATTTTTTTTATTACTTGTGAATTAATACCAACAAACCCTTTCCGTGAGATCGTTCGCGCGTTTTATAAGACTTTTTTCCTCTTCTCTTTCTGGTCGAAGAAACCTGGTGTTCCAAGTTATTTGTTCCCGTTCTGGTTTATCTAAGAATTGTCGATGTATATTTGTTCTATCTGCTTCATCATCACTATAAGTAAAAACCAAATATTAATTACTGTTAACTATATGCTCCATATTAATTGCAATAATTTATCCACTGGTACTTTAGATTTTGCAGTATTTTGAAATTCTAGTCCAAACTTTAACTACAGCACAGTCTCTTAATGGGAACTGAAAAAACCTTTCTCCTTAATAGGGAATTTCTTTAATTTCATTGATTTTACCTGCTACAAATTTCAACATCGGTATCTGATTCTAAGTCTCGTTCAATTATAATTGATTTTCGTTTTGAAAACAATGGCTCTTTTTTCATTTTTGAAGTCTGCTGTTCTGTAAACGATTTAATTATACGGTTATCATGAGGCTAATATAGCATAGCTAGGTCAGACTAGGTTTGTCTTACGTGTTTTGGATGTAATTTTGTCATTCGATTCTTGAACCATTTCATAATCTAGAATCGCACAAACTCTTTCACACAGGTCACTTGATAATTCTCTTGATAGGTCTTTTAATTCGTAAGCGTTCAGCTGAAACAGTTCAATTTGTAATTTATAATAGATTAAGAAAATGTTTAGATAGATAATTTGGCATCAAAACTTACCTGATCTTTGTCTTTATCCAACTCTGCTATAACATTTTTCCAATACATCTTATTACGTCGTATAGCTTCTGATTTTTCATATTTAGAACATTTTACATTAATTTTACTTGAATTCATTTTTTAACTTTGTATAACGTTACAAAAAATAAAATAGTGCATGACAAACTAAAAGCTTTGTAAAAATAAAAAAGTGCAAAGTAACGTTATCAACCTCCAGTCACGTAAAAACTAGTTTCAATTGAATTCTTAATAATCTCATATAATTTTTTGAGCTGATCAGTATTAGTGGATGTGGCTATTGATTTAATAAAACTTACTGTTGCCCAGGAGACTGTTGTAACGGCATATCTATACTAATTACGCATTGATTTAAAACTAGGTGGTTGTCGGTAGAACGTTTTTCTTCATATTTTTAAGTCATCAGACGGAACGTCATTTTGTTACTGTTTGTACGAAATATGGATTGTAAATTGTTCTCAGATTTGGTCCCAGTTATAATTTCAAGGAAAAGTGATATTTTGAAAAGGATAAAGCTGTTTAATTAATTTTAAAATAATGATTAATATAGATGTATTAATATATTGATATAGCATTGTTATTTATCAAAATTATACATAAGTTTCCAAATCGATATCATGTTCTGCGAATATTTTTTTCAATTTTGGATATTTTTTTGTTATTTCTTTTAACATTTTCTGTCGTTTTATACAAGTATCGCCCACAGATTTTGCAAAAAAAATGTTAACTGCGTCATTACCAGCACGTTCTTTCAATAAATTATATAAGCAAGGGCATGGAGGATCATGTCTTACGTCTTCATCACTAGAACACTGTGTCTCTATGTTGTGATAATTTTCTTTGATTTCCGCAAATGGCAATTCACTATTAGCTATTTCTTTTGCGTCCAACAAGTTTTCCTTTGGTTCCTTCTGAGACGGAACTCCAAAAATTGCTTCTACTCTTCTAAAATTTTCTTCTGAGAAATCAAAATAGGAGTTTAAATAAGGGAAATAATTTACCAATGTATTATCAGCACATTTTCTAACTGGACAATCAGGAAGCCGGTGAAAATTTTCAAACAAGAAAGATTCGTCAGAGCTCTCACTAGTGCTTGACTGCACAGATTGCACTTTGCTAGTTGTAGGAGACATTTCTGGTTGTGGTTCTACTGGTGTACGACATTTACATCTTTGGGAATCTAAAAATTTTTTAATCTCTTCGAATCCGTGACATTTTGCGTAAATAAATTGTCTTTGTAACCTGAAATACGGTAGATCCACATCTGCAGGTATAGTTTCCCTGCTACCATAAACTATTGGAGGCGTATCGGAGGTGTCTCCTTCAATGACAAATGGTTCTTTTGTACATATTTCATCGCTTGGACCTGATTGTTCAAATTTAAATACATTACTTTCCTCAACTAAAATTGAGCTTTGTGATCTATGAGATTCTTTTATATCATCAAGTTGTAATTGTACCAGTTTTTCTAACTGTAGTAAGAAAGTAGTTTGTTCTGGTAAAAGCTTAAGAGCAAAACTTATAAATTTCAGAAACAATTGCAAAACTTTCTTAATTTTTTCTTCCCAATCTCTGTTAATATCCAAAATACAGACATCTTTTTCTTTAAGCGATTGTAATAAATCCCTTTTTTGTTTGATTTTTTCTACAACTTCATTTATTTCTGCGCTATGATACTTTTCTAATATTATATTTTTAATTTTACATTTTTTCCGTTCCGTGCACAGAACATAAATTGAACTAGTCAGTCTTTCACATAAAATTTGCTTATAAAACATGTCAACTGCATTGTTTCGTTCTCTGAGTGCATAATTCGTTAGTTGATTTGACCGTTCATGTTCATTTCTTAAAAGAAGGGCGTAATACCGCTTGATTTTTTTTATTTCAGTAAAATATTTTTTATTTAAGGTATCTTCTAATTTTTTTCTTTCTTTGCGCAATTTCAAATGTATTTGATTGTTTAAGTGGCTAATTATGTTAGCATACACGCTGGATAGAACGGTCTCAACTTCTTTTTTTACGTTCTCTTCCAACTCTTTAAGAGAGCTTTCATAGAAATTTTCTATCTCCTTCGTCATTAATGCGCTTTTTGTTTTAAATATATTTTGATATTTTATTTTAACTTTTTTAACAATTTCTTCCTTTTCGTTCATTAGAACGAATTTCCAACAGTCATCATTTTCACGCAATAAGTTTTTTAGTGAAATAAGGAATTCCTCGTATTCTTTTTGTAATACGTCATTCCCAATGCTGATAATGCCTTCATGTGTTTTGCTTTTAATAATTTTCGAAGTAAAGGGCGGTTTCATTTGTATTATCCCAATAAGCAAATCGCTTGGTGATGTCCATATTCCTTCATCTGAGTCGCTTTGCTTCGGGACTTCGACCTTTTGCTTTTGTTCAGTTTTTTCAACACTTGGCTTCACTTTTTTGTCATATTTAATATAAATATCTGCATAGGTGCTACCTATAATATCATTACCATTGGTAGTGTTAATAATGTCGTACTCCATTGTGAGATTAAAAATAAATAATTACGAAATAATGATAAAATATTGGTTCCAAAATATAGTAGCGCTATAGAGAAATGGTTGTCATTTTTGACATAAAGAGAGTAGGCATAATTAAGTAAGGAGGTAATTTTTAAAAAGAATTTATGTCCGTAAAGCCGGCTATACACTTTTGTTTTAACCTTAATAGTCGCACAGTACAGTTTAGCTGTCCTAATGTCTCATTACTGCAAGCCTCTGCAAGCAATGTATACTAAAGTTATGCTTATATTTAGTATCAACGATATTCAAATTGCTTTATTTCCTCAATGAGCTGTCCCTACTCTCAATGGCAATTGAAATAATAGCGTCAACTAAATTTCGCCCCGAGGAAATGAACTAATTTATTTGGAACACTTACTCTAAATTTCAAATGGGAATATCTTTGAATTTAGTTTGCAGACCGATCATCCGTAGTTGTATACAAATATTCATAAGAAAAATTGGGTTAATAAAAACAAAATTCTTATCAAAAATTTATTACTTATACTACAACATTAATACAAATTAATAAAACAGGCAATATAGTATATTTTGATTCATATATCTACTATAAATATATGTATTTACATAATTTACGTGAATTCGATTATTTAATATTTTCTGCCTCTTCGAACGTGTCGGGAATTTTTCTACCCCGTGTTTCTGGTTGGGTTAATATCAGAAAAGCTGTCAATACAGCCATAGTGCCGAACATAACGGACGGTATCCCCGACCAGTACACCATGAGAGGCGGCGTGAGAGGCGCAACAACTGATCCTATCCTGCCCATCATCGAAGAAAAACCCAAAAATGAATGCCGATGCCTCGTAGGATATAACTCGGTAGTGAACAAATACAATGATGTGAACACAACACCTGTGCAATATTTTCCCAGTAAGTATAAAAATAGAGATATACCATATAATGATTTTGGAGTAAAAGCAAAAGCGAAACAACAAATACCACACAAAAAATAGCCACTAAATAAAGTTACTTTACGACCTACCCTGTCTAAAACGAGCACCGCAGTCCAATAGCCGGGAATTTCAATAAGACTAACTAAAATGTAGTTTAAATACATATTTCCGGATAAACTAACAGCGTTAATTGAAAGACCGTAATAAATGAATGTTGTTGTGATCCAATACACAGGCGTTGTACAACATCGTTGCAACATTACTCGGGACTTAAGAACACGATACACCAGATTTCTTTCGCCGGTATTTGATTTATTTTGTTTAGGTATGGCCGTTAAAAGGAAATTTAAATGTGATTCTTGTATTTCCTTTTTGTTTAATTTGGCCGCACGCAACAATGTTGCTTTAGCTTCCTCCGTTTTGTTTTTACTAAGCAGCCACCTGTGACTCTCCATAAGTATCCAATAATAAGATATAAGAATAAATACAGGCGCAAATAAAACTAAAGATAAATTTCGCCATTCAAGCACGGCCGATGCGATCAATCCTAACAAAGCTTGACCGAGCGCAAACGTCGATGACATTGTTGCACTTGTGTAAATTCTGAATCTCGGGCCAACAATTTCTGTGGCTAATATGTAACCGGCGCTGTATAAACCTCCTCCGATAGCCGTATGCATAAATTGTAGCGTCGCATACATTGCGTAGTTTACTGAAAAAGCTCGAATACAGCCAACGAGAGCAACATTAAAACCAAAAAATACCACTGAAATTCTTCTTCCAAAAACATCAGATATAAATCCTGCTAAAGGAAGAGCGATCATCGCACCCATACTGTTTAAAGTGCCGGCGAGAGCACGAAGCCATTCCTGACATTCCAATCCAAAATCATATACAACTGTGTTTGTTCTTTCGTATACGTAACTCTCGCAACTAATGATGTTGCTCCTATCAAAAAGATTTGCAGGACAAGTGCCGTTTAAAAGTGATTCAGGAATCTGTGTTGTGTTCGCATATCTGGAGCAATCATCGAAACCAGTAGCAGTCTCCGGTATAACGTTTAGAATCCAATTTGGTGCGTATTCCTGTTGTCTATCATCACATATTGGTACTGCGCATCGATGGGGAAGCCTGCCAGCTGTAAATATATAGTCACCAGCCATAAATCCAGAGAATATAGCAGGTAATAGAACCAATAAAATATTTCTAAATTGGTATAGTCCGAATTCACCCAACTCTTGGTTGAGAACTCTTTCGAATTCGATTTTTTGTTCATTCTCATCTGGTACCATTTTTCTGGTTGTTAATTAAAGTTTATTAATGAGAATTTTGCGCAATGAGCGCCGTGTTAAGAACCAGCTCTAGATTTTACTCTTTACTCTGTTACAAATTTGATGCAGCTGAAAAGACAAAAATAAACAATTTTAAAAAGAACAACGAAAATGAGTAAAACACTTACGATAAACGTGTCTTTAATGTCAGTTTCTTTTAAATATCATCTAAAAAATGAACTGATTTTATAGTACGAATAACAATCAATAAATATTTATGTTTCCGTTTCTTATTTGTAGGTTCTATAACGAACTGTACATTTCTTAAAAATTATGCATGTAAAAATAATTACCCATATTATAATGTTTATTTTGTTCACTTCAAACTAAAGTGCAACTTTAACACGATCACTTAACTTTGAACGTTTTATTTAAGAAATATTTCATATTGAAATACGAAACTTTTATATTAATTAAATGTAAAATAAAAATATGTTTCAAAGGAATGTAATCGTCTGTATATTCAAATAAAGACTATCAATAGACTCGTGTGAGGCAGATCTTTTCACTAGATGTTGTTATCTCGATATGCAACATTTTATTCGTTGATACTAGTTTTTATAAATATTCGGCTTATCGCAATAATCTCTTTTAACATTTAGGGCAATTAATTTAGAAGAAAATTCGATTCATTTTACTAGTATATTATATGATTGTTATCTTTAAATTAAAAAACTCATGTTATATTTAGCAATTATATAGTATGAAGTAAGAATGGATCTATTATATTATTATAATAT